TTTCGGTTTTTTTGTTTGCTCCAAAAGTACCACACAACACACACAAAAGGAACTCACTTTTGGAAATTCTGGCAAGGTGCAGGGGGCAGGATATATATAAAAGAGAAAGAAAAAAAAACTCCCACGGACTGGATGAATTCCTGTGAGCTTGCCACAGAGTTTGGCGGAAACAAACCCCATTGAAGTCGGAAGTTGGCAATGCCAGCTCATGCAGCATAGAAACGTTTTCTGTTGCTTGTGTTACGGGCATGCGGTTTCCTTGAAAGGCCGGTATTGTTTGTGTTTGTGTGCCGGAGGAGGGCTCTTGCCAGTGTCAGGGCGAGCACACCATTCCCGGGTTTTGTTTGGCCGGTAGCTTCCGTGCTCAAAAAGTGATGTAATGTCTCATCTGTCACGGGCACCGTGAATGTGATCATTCATGAAATGTTGCTGTAATTTATTTTTGTTTGTGTTTTTTTTTCTCCTCCCTTTTTTTGTTCTTGTTGTTGTTGTCGTTGGAGCGGCAGCGGTGTTTGATAGTGGTGGTGGTAGGGGAGGTCTGGAATGGTCGCATGAAAATTGTGGCACAAAAAGCGTTCTCCAATCCATTGGAACTTGTCAAGAGCGAGTTGAAATCCAGGTCAGCTTGTGCGTTCGAGTCATTTGCATTTATAGTGGCACAACTGCGAGTGTGCACAACAAGCCGTTAAAAGTTGCATGCTGTTTGAGACGTACAAATGAACCCGTGTGCAGTTTCACATTGCAGCTTTCCCAAGTTTGTGCAGTCTTCATAAGGAAATAAAAAATAAAAACAAGCCTTAATTAAATGCGTGGAATTGCAAGCTAGGCTTGTCCCTGCAGCCTTGTTTTCAAGCGTTGCACGTTTTTTTTCTTCTCAAAACAATACTTTGCAGTATGCTTTCAGCTTGTATAGCAGTGCATTCTATTTCGTGCATACAAAAATAACATTTAGACGACAGGAATTAATAATTTGCTGCATGTAATAATAATCTTACTGGGAGGTGCCGTGCCAAAAGAGCTTTCTATCCAATATTGGAAGATGGTGACTTCAAATCCCAGCGTATTTGTCAGACTGCACGGAGAAATGTGGAATTTGCAGCACGCAGTGAGGCGCTTCGAGGTGTATGACCTGCCTTCAAGTTGCACGTTGAACATTTTCAAACAAAGTTTGCGTGTGTCTTATGCAGCGACAGAGCGATCATTCAGAAGCGTTAGAACGGCTCGCAACATCGCCGATTAGATATTCAGCCGAGCGGTGTGACGCACGCGATGTTCGCAGAAACTTTAACTTCCATGACCTCTGCTGGATTGAAGAGGAACTGTGTGGAGGTGAAATCGTATACAGTATTGTGACCTTTGCACGGAAGGCTTTTTGACACGTGCACGCACAGCAGCACATACGGAGAGATTTCGGCGGTGGGGGAGGGAAGGGGGGGGGTCGCAGAGTGTTAAAAAAACATGCAAAACGGGTTGCTTGGTGGCACGTGTCTACCATGTGACGCTCAGCTGCTACTTTGAGAAATGCTACCCATGCTCACGATGGGGCGAGTGACAGCAGTGTGGGTGGGGGGGGTGATGTTGATGAGGTAGAGGGGATTGCGAGAGAGGCTTGGCAAACGCCAACTGCATGACCAGAGCACGCAGGGGGGACAGCAACCCAGACTGACACGGCAACGGCATCAGCACATTCTCAGCCCGTGGCATTGCGTGTCGTCTCATTGGAATTCTCTGGGCAGCGCTGCTCTCAGTGCACTCGGTGTTCTTAGCCGTGCCACATTTTTTTTCAACATTGGACGATTTTTCTTTGGTGACCCAGCGTTTGCCGGGGGTAATTTTATTGGCGTTTCTACTAAATTGTCACACATTTTCCCCAAATCTCACAAATTGCTTGTTTTAGTCGGAGGTCGTTTCGGTGTTGTGTACGGGGTACTGACCAGCGTGGCGAAGTATGGTAAGAAGATAAACGATAATCCATCACCGAGACAGTGTTGGGTAGGCTTTCATCCATCAGTGGATTGACAAACGTCTATAAATTGTTGTTTATTATAATTATATCAGAGTACCGATGACATTTTCCTATGGATAGACTGGCATCCTGCCATGCGAATGTGGATGTTTCACCACTGGCTCCGGACCCCACCGAGAGACACGAGTGCATTCCCATTGCTTGTTTGAGCAGGGAGACATGTTGACTCTATTGGCCTGGAGTGCTTTCTGAAACATCAGCACTGGCTGCCGGGTGGAGATATTGATTCTCGACACAGAAATGTGCATTGTTTGTCACTGGAGCGAAGCTGCCAGCAGAGATGACCACCAACAACAGTTCCTCGCTCGAGTAAGAAGATACTTGGAATTTAGCTCTTCGATGTGTTTTCGGGTTGGACCAATTGTTGTCTGTCGCGATGTCCGACATTTCACTCCCCGTGCTGCTGGTAGCTTCTCCACATGCGGGGAGAGGAACGACGACATCGTGCCAACCAACTCGCAATGCATCTTGGGACACATCGGAAGACTGTGCAGCACAACCGCGAAAACCTACGCGGTAGTAACGCCGGGATATTTAATCCCCGTTGCATTCCTTTTACAACATCTTTGCTATGCACATGTAGTGTAAAGGCGTATTATGGACACAATATTTGTTCTGTTAGTGTACATGGGCTCGAAGGAATTAATAACAAACACGTAAAATATAAGTTTCATCCCCCATGGGATTAAGTTGAATAGTTCGCGCACGTTCCAAGTGCCATTGACTTAAGTGACACTTTCTGATCGTGAAACATTAACATCGTCCCTCTGCCGTGATTGCCCGCCCTCTTGACAATCAAAACTTTCCAGCGTTAAATTACCTGCTCGCCTTATTTGTGCGTAAAGTAGGGCATGCAAAACAAATTGCCCGTGCAAACTCAGCAAACTTATCATCTCCGCCCCAAGGATATAATCCCACAAGGCCTGTGTTTCATTCGCATCTCTCAGTTTGGAAAAGAGATCGCATGAGCGCAGTGTTTCAATTTATATGATAATCTGTGATTTAATCAAGCATTGAAAGGCAAACCAAAACCCTGTTTTATAAATTACCGTATGAATTTTATTTACTTCAATTTGGGTTTACGTATATAAAGTATATGCGAACGGCAGTCAAATGTACTTCAATTTGATAATAAGCATACATCTAAACTTGCACAGCTTCACTTATATTTGTTATATTGCCATATCTAACACTCATTCCTTCTTGGTGTCTTATGTGCAAAGTAACCCTGGTATTAAATACATATATTCGTATAATATTTTTCCCACATCCCTTACCATCATCCCAGCACCCTCACCGTTAACTTAGGCAGGGTTTGAGTGTTTGATCGTCCAGTTGCTGCAGTAGAATGCAGACTTTAGGAAGCCATCAGAATGTCAGAAATAATCGGTGACCATTTGCTCTTCCAACATATCGATACTGACACGGCTCCTTCAGCTGATATGTTAATAACACGTTGCTGCATGACATAACAGGGACACTGCTTGAATTTATATTGCACCCATAACATAGCAAAACGTCTCGGAGCACAGTTGTCGGGGGTGCCTGCTGATGGTCGGTTGTTCCTGTGCATTACAAGGTGACTCAGAACCAGCCTGCAAATGGGCCTTAATCAGCCGGTAGGGGGGCAACGCCTAATTTGGCGAGTTTAGACAACGAGAGCATCACACACAATGGCCTACTGTTTTCGAATGACATCTCAGGATCTTTATCTTTCCCCATGAAGCAGACGGCGCACATCTTCTGGTTAATACACGCGTAGTATTAACCAGGGCATCCTGCCGGTTTCCAATCATCAACCTCTGCAGTAAGTGGCAAATGTGCTACGGCTGGGCCGTGTCTACCGCCTCCTGTATGTTTTTTGAACTCATTTTGCACCGTACGTAGTCAACCGTGATAATCGGAGGTGTGAGGATGTATGTCCTCATAATGCCGACAAGTGTTCCTCATGTTTGTTCTTCATATACAGATTGCTGTGTATGATTAGCCATACACAATCGGTGTAGATGTGTTTGAGTGTGTTGAGTGCATGTGGGGGCAATGGCTTTGGTTAGTAAGGGGTGAAACAATGAATAGATTAACCAGAATTGATTCTTAAGCGCACACAAACACAGGCATGGAATCATGTGTGCAAAAACTGGATTTTTTCTTTCTTCTAGATTTGGTTATGTTCAATATTTATGATTCACATCACCCCAGCACCCACTGGTAGGTGCTACCAGAACCTTGAATTGCAACAATTAATTACATTTTTGTGTTTGTGTGGGAGCACGGGTGCATTGTTCCACCATTAGTGGTCGTGTATTAAACATCAATTCCATCTCCCTGAGTTAATTTCCGAACTGTGGTGGCCCAACATCAGTTAGAATACATGTGTAACCACAATCGGGTGACAGGGTGGGACTGTGATAACATTTGAGCCTCGTACCAAGAAGAGCCTGGATTTGCTTCCCTATCCGAGCTCCTTTCTGCGTGGAGTTTGTATTTTCTCCCACTGTTCGTGTTTTACAATTTCCACCCATAGCTAAAATACACAGTGTAACCGGTATTGGCCAAACATCCCAATGCCGAAAACTTGCCTCCAAATAATTCAGGTGGGATTACACGCGTCAACATCGCCCACAAGTGTGAAAACTTGGCAAGTCCCTCCTGAAAAAAGTGTTGAGACTCAATGAAGTTTTCCTGGATAAACAAACAATAATAATTATTGTAATAATCAAAATAACACCCAAGGACTCTACTTGGTTGGCTCAGACATGGACTTTGCACTGTTGTGTCTCAACACCCACGTTGGGAAGACAGAGGTGACTGGAAATTGTGTGGTGCCCATTCAAACCGTACCATTGTGTACCGTGCTGGCCTTAATAGACGTTCGCTAATGTCACTTGGCTGCAGCAGTATATTCGGGCGGAAATGCAGCTATATGTAACTGAGGATCTTTGTCTTTCTGTGCTTTGTATGCGTGTGGTTACAGGCCCAGTGGTGTACATCCTAGACCTGGCCGATCGCATGATCTACAAGGCATGCCCGTTTGCAGCCGCAGGAATCATGGTGGGCTCCATCTACTGGACGGCCGTCACGTACGGCGCCGTCACGGTCATGCAGGTATGTATGTATGTACAGTACATATGTTGAACTTCTTTCTCGCCATACATAGCCAACCATTCTAATCATAGGTGCGGGGGAAGGACAACAAACTAAACACGAAAATCAGTTGTAAAGAAATGAGTTTTCAATCTGGTTTTCAAAGTGCACTGCTCCATTGGCTTCGTAATACATTGAATGGATAATGCATATTTATGGAAAATGTTATTTCCTGAGTTTTTATTTTATATATTATTGAACCAATAGGATGTGTCAGTGTGTTTATATATATATGTATTTATGGAGGAACAGGGTATTTGTCCACTTGTGTTATCTTGTGACTCCGCGAATCACTGTACACGTGACATCTGTGCCTGGGTGGTGGTGGCCACGCACGTGGCTGCTGTAACCCAGCACTGTGGAGGCAGCAGCAGCAGCGAGGGTTGGTGGTTCACACACATGTTGGTCCAGATACCGTGCGATTCTAAAAATCACAATTGGAGTAGAAATCCGTTCCTAGTTCCCTCCAAAAAATAATATACAATATTTAATCCACTGGCCTTCCACACCAACATTATCTAACATAGTTTGTTTAAGTGAACAAATTCTGGACTGGTTTCAGCCTTCGGGGTCTCATCAGCAGAGTCATGCTTGGTTACCGGGTTATTATTGGCTTGAGCGCTGCATCTAAATTCAAAGCAAAAAAAAATATGCTTGTGATTGTGGTCTCTGGAGGGCTGGTGACCAGGACTGCATTGGGCTGGAAGGCAAACCTCATGGGGATGGGTCCGAAGGGTCATGGCAAGGCAGGTTCGACTGCACCTGTACGTGGGTGGTGTTTCTTACATGAGTCATCGCGCGTGGCCTCGCATCGGCAGCAAAATGCACGAATCCAGCGAGAGGCTGAACACATCAACACAACGAGTGGTTCTTTGTAAAGCGGTTGCATGGAGGTTGCTCGTTGCAAACGCGCGTATGTTTTTACATTAAGGTGTACAGAATCTTTTCAGTGCCAGTTACTTTCAGTTCAGCATCATCACATTCACTCTTGTGAAATGCTGCATGCGCAAAACCATTACAGTAACTGAGCAGTTTAGCGTAAAATAATATAAATATTTTAAAAACATCTTGCAAATTATACAAGGCAGGAAATGATGCGATCATTTCGGGAACAACTCTTCACCTCACACTTCACAACAAGCAGTACTTTGTTATGTTTAAAAAAAATCTGTTCCAACATCATACATACTTAATTTTGCTTAATTGCAAAGGAAAAAAAACTCAGCGTGTGTTTGTTTGGCTTCATTTGCACGTTATAAATAAATAGAGCGTTTATGCTGTTGCGCTGAGGTGTCTGAGCGCTCGGAGTGTGCCAGTGAAAATTCATGGTCGTCACAGCGCTCGGCCCACTTGAGATTTGAGCCCATCTCACACTTGCCAATATTTCTGACAAATTTCTTTACGGGCAGATGGTTTGCGCTATCGTCTGTCCCATCTGCTATTAGCATAGGGGCTTTGCATATGCGGCGCACAGTAATGTCCCTCGCAAATTTGCACACAAAAAACCTTAAAGCAGATCGCTTCACTGTCTTGGCCTAGCAAGGTCAGCTGCCTTGTCTTAAATCGAGTTTCTCCTTGAGTGCAAAGGAGTGGAAGCCATTGCTCAAGCTGAATTGTGTCACTGTAATGCTAACGTTTATTGGCTTTGTGGCTACGGTGCTAGGCATTCTGGAGCACGATACTCTGTGTGCATACTGGAAATGGACATACCTTCCTATAATGTATCACTCGATGCACTGCGTGCAGCGACGGGGATTTACTTTATTTTTTAAACATTCGTCTTTGACTTAGTGTCAGCTTTACGCGTGCAGAGGAACATCGTTAATGTACAGAATTATTTTTAAAAAATTACCGGCGGCTCATTTCCAATCTGCTTTGGAGGTTGAGTTGATAACAACAGTGACTCCTTCGAGGGAGGAATGTAATTTATTGTCCGGGGCCAGGGATGGGTCTGCCCTTTCGTGATGAGGCCTCTCAAAAAAGGCACCGGCAGATGTTGCGCACGGACCTGCTCTTAGTCGCCACCCTGCGCCCGTAATGAATTTCATTACTCATCCCGCGCAGATGGCCTCGTGCAGTGGCACACGGGAGCAATGAAAACATTAGCTCTGTTAATTGTACGAATCGCAGGCGGAAGGGCACCAGTGCCCGCATTTGATTTGCACCTCCGCGGGCTGCCTCCTCTAGATAAAAATACAGTATGTCAAGAGACTAGAGCGCTTTTTATGATTTTTTTTATTTTGGTTCTCCAGCCTCTTGTCTTTTCACCCCCCCCCCCCCCTGCGCACCACTGCTTTTACTCCCTATTCTTTTTAATTTCTGTGCCATCTGTTCGCATAGTTGTGCAGACGTAGGGAGCAAGTGTTCCAAGTTAAAAATGTCATGGCTTTATGTAATGTGTGCATATGCGTTCGTATGCAGATTTGTGTTTTGTCCGTATTTTTTGTACATTGTACATACCCACGCGAATATGTGTATATGTAGGTGTGTGAAGTGGCATAATGGTTTGCATACTGCATTATCTTTCTAGCGACCTGAGTTAGATTCCTATCTATGCACATCCTTAATTATTAGAATCTGAATCTTACCTGGATCTCTCAGAGGTTAATTCAGTGAAAAATACTTGAAACAAAAAATAATTGGTTTCTTGAGTTCAAATCAGCACTGTTAAGGCAAAGAAAACCTGGTGCACCGCTGGTCACCACCACTTCTTGTTCCGCGTAATTTTAATAGGCGCTCACTCTCCGCACATGCCCCAACAGTCTTTGTGTCCCAATGAGGTTCCCTATTTTTGTGTTTTAAGTGGCAGTCTGGTATGCTTCGCTGCCCACTTAAACGCAGTGATGTGATGACGTGCCCTGGGGAATGGCTGAATTAGTGCCATGCGTAACTCAAAATAAAAATAAAACTTTTTTTTATTTAACTGAGCTATATAGCTCATTTTCAGAAGCGACCTGGCCACAAACGATAACCTCAACAAAGTGGCTTATCACGTGGAAATGTATAGCAGCCAAATACTCTAAACGCACGTTTCTAAATTTGAAGGGGAAAAACCGGAGTACCCGGAGAAAATCCACACGACCATGGGGAGAGCATGCAAACTCCAAATAACCAAGCGACATGTGCATGTGTTGGCCGCGATAGGTATTGGGCCACAAGGAGGGGCTGGACATGATGGAGCGAGCAGACCCCCTCTTCCTGCTCATTGGGCTGCCGACGATTCCCATCATTCTCATCCTGGGCAAGATGATTCGCTGGGAGGATTACGTGCTCAAGCTTTGGCGCAAGTACTCCAGCAAGCTCTACATACTTAACTACATCTTCCCAGGTGAGCTTTGGGGGTGGGAGTATTGGCTGCGGCGACTCTTGGTACGCAAACCAGGTGGCGCTCTTACTCACTGCATTCTCTCCCTGCTAGCTTTGAGCTTCTGTCCAACATATTGGACATTCACTGGGTTTATTACAATGTGGGGTTTCTTTTTTATCCTTGAATGCCTCGCTGCGTCTCAGGATTTGGACAAATTGATGCTATTTCTTGCCGATTTGACAATTTTTCCACGGATTTCATTTCTGCCATTTCAAGAATAATGGATTCATGCAATCAGGATTTATTTAGGTCTAATTACGACCGTATTTCAAGATGTACTAGGAAGGGGGACACGAGAATTATAAGGGCTAGGAGGCGGTGAGATTGAGGTCAGGTAAAGTATCAGTAAAACGCAAGCTCCAGAAATTATAAATGTAATGATACAATCTGTCGATTGATAGTGATATGAAAACTTGTGATTAAATTTTCATTTTACGCTTTTGATTTCCTATTGGCAATAAACAATGGATCCCTACTGCATGGACGTAGAGATGAGCCTTTGTGGTGGTTGTCTCCCGTTTAAATTTACCCCGTTGGAGCCAGTCATGGATATTCCCCAAGGATCACGTCACATGTTGACACAAGGTGGCATAAATATAAATAATATAATTGTTATTTATTATCTGAAAGTTAAGACCACCATTAAGTCTCTTACACACGTGTCCATTGCTGTATGTATATACATACATTGCTTTGGTTGCATCTCTGCAACATTTCCATCGCCAGATTTTATAATCTCACACTCACCGCTTTCACGTCGTCCGTAGAGGAGTAAACCGATCTGCGAATGGTGTCAGCGCACATTGCCCTGTTTTTCCGAGGAAGCCGTGCAGACTCGTACACAATGCTGGTGTCCCTGAGGGTGTTTTATTTTTACTCAGAGCAGCGCCAGCACTTGTGAAGAGTCTGTGCCCTTGGTGCCTCTGTGTTGTAAGAAAACGCCGCGTGCCAGTCTCTCAGCGTGCAGCGTGGCGCACACACGTGTACAGATTGCATTGGCGCCGTAAATCAAAATTAGAGGACTAAATAAATAGAAGGTAATGGAAGTGAATTAACAGATGAATAACTAGAACCATCACAGTTGGGCACACTGCATGAGTAATAAATCATTGGTTGTACAAGTCGCTGTTTTCTTGTGGGCACTTCCATTAAAATAAATAAAACACATTTGATATAGGAAGCGTCGGTTAATGGCTGTGTGTCGATCACCGAAACGTTTTTGGTAATAGCTGCTCAAAATAGGTGTCCTCTGGTGGTGCGGTGATGAATCAAATTTACCTTGGCAATAATGCCTCCTTATTTCCATAATTAAATCGGGCACCGCGGTTATTTAAAAACTCTGTTGCGTACGCACCTGTGATGAATGAAGCTTGGGGAGGGTAATGCAAACTGAAGAGGCGGCTTCGATAAATCAGCCTCGGACCTGTCCCGCATCGAATGGGTTGCTGCGAAACAAATGAGCTGGAGCGGCCCATGAATTCTGCATGGAAATAAAACCCTCTGGAGGCAGGAGGAAATGTTTAAAGCCAGCGTGGGCGGCAGCAAGGGGGGGGGGATGATTTGTTTGCGAGCTGATCAGCGGAGCCTACGCCAGGAACAGTATTTTGCAATGCATCACCGGTTTGATGAGTACTGTAGAAGGTTTTATTGTAAATTGAGAATTCACTAATATGATGTGTGGTTTGTATGTTTCATTGTGATTAAAATGCCAAACCCTTCCAAAATCAAATCAGTTTGGGGTACGGAGTTGTGGGCTGGGGAAATACTGTGGCAGTTTTGGAGGGTGTTTTTTTTTGCATTGCCTTTATTGTTTTATAGGCATAACGGCAAAAGCAAAATTGACTACAGAAGACACTCAATATATGGACCCAGACTAATTGGAATTTGCTTTGGGGCAGGCCAAATGTTCAACAGAAGCACGACCTGGCTCTTATTTAAATGTATGTAAAAGAGCTTGACTTTGAAAAACAATGCATTTCATAATCTCACTCTGAAATCACCTCTCCACCATCTCAATTAACACTCCCAAATAATGTGTTGGAGCAGCAGCCCATCAGAGTATAAGGGGAGATTGAGGTCACGTTAAGGTGCAGGTGTATCTGCCCTATACTCGGAAGCATGCTGGTGAAACTCGGCTCTTGTGATTGACTGGTTGAAAACCAACACCTGCTTTTTTTGTTTGTTACTGTTATTATTAACATTTCGCCAATGTGTGATAGGCCTTCAATGCTCCAAGTCCTTGCAGAAGAACATTTTATCTCCGTGGACTCTCACCTAGTTCAAAGTAAATCAATTGACTGGTTCCATCGATTGGATGTTCCACAATGGGTAATTAAAATACATTACCGTACACCTCACAATATAGTACCCTCAGTGTGATGAAAGAAAAACAGTTTAGTCACTGTTCACATGTACTGGAATGGTCACTTGTTGGCACACCTCCTATGACGATCAATTATAATTACAATTCCGAAGCAATGTTAAGTGAAATTACATTTTACAGTGCGATCTCAATTCATAGCAAATTGCACAATTGGTTATGGCCGTAGGTCTGCTCCTGGGAGCCGAGTAAAAGTGCCGCAAGAGAGCGGGAGTGGGCACAACACGCGCCACGCGACGAATGTGGAGGGGCGGGACGCTGGTTCACTCACGGGGGCGGTGATGGTTGATGGCGCGGGCGATGGTGCGGGTGAGGTGATGGTGACGGTGCGGTCGCGGTCGCGGTGAGGGTGACGGTGCAGGTGACGGCGCGGTGTCGGCGAGGAAGACGGTATGGTGACGGTGCGGTTGATGGTGCGGTGTCGGCGTGAGAGACGGCGTGGTGACGGTGCGGTTGCTGTGTGCCCCAACGCCGCAGGTGTGTGCGGTCCCGTGCCGCGGATCCCAGCCGAGACGAGCCCCCTGGCCGACCACGTGTCGGCCACGCGCATCCTGTGCGGCGCGCTCGTCTTCCCGACCATCGCCACTGTGGTGGGCAAGCTCATGTTCAGCCGTGTCAACTCCAACCTGCAGAGAACCATTCTGGTGCGTAGCAAACACATTGCCGTGGTGGGGGTGGGGGAGGGGAGGGACTGTGTCCGTAGCTTGAAATGGATTTTTCATTGTAATCATTATCCTCATCATCATCTTCAACCTCATTGACTGTGATCAATCCACTGCTGAATGAACGCCTTCTCCAAGTTATGACCGCGCAGAATCACAATCAGGATGTTTATTCATACTAGAGGAATCCGATGAGCTATAAAGCTCTATTCCACAGATGCCCGGTAGTTTTACAGATGTCCAGTAGCTCCACAGATGTCCATTAGATGAGCACAGTTGGCTACGTACGGTGCGAATGAAGTCCAACGTGCATACATCTTTCACGGTCCTATGATGTAACAATACATCTAGTATCTGCACAGGAGCTCGTTTCATCGCTCGTGTCTCTGCATTGGACGGACTTTGGAGCGTCTTTCCTTTGTGAGCTGCCACCCTGTCGCTAGTCTCGTTAAAGGTCGCTTCATATGGAGGAATCCGATGAGCTATGAAGGTCTTTTTCACAGCTGTCCAGCAGGGACGGGTCGGCAAGTTACAACCACAACAATAATAATGCAGCACTTTACAAAGCAAAGTTGGTAGCACACACAGATTTGATTGTGCACTGTGAGGTGGACACATGATTGCAGTACAGCAAGTGGGTTCGTGACCTATCCAGTAGATTATTCATCGTGGTTATTCTTTGAATTCCTTTTAATTTCATAAAAATGTTCCGGAACACAGATTTGTCCAACTTCTCAATGCTTGCAAGACCCATGTGATGCTTGCTAACAGCATTCCTGGATAAATGAAGATGCTCTTAATTTATTTATGTAAAAGCACAGCCAACTCCACCCACTTAAAATATCACTGTAGTTCGCTCAATATAGACCCATTTACCCTTGCGAAATTCTTTACTGCGCGAGTTTAGTCGCAAACGATTGTTTTTCTTTGGGTAATGAGCAGCAAGCTTGTTAGAGGTGGGACATTTCACACCCACCACCCCAGAGATGTGGTCACGTGATTATGATTCGATTATTTTCTGTATTACATTATGGTGAATTGGGGGTGTACCTCCGAGTGGCAGCAGAGGTTATTTGAACCAGTTAACCATAAAATAACTAAAAACATTCATAATTATTACAGATGTGGTTCCATGCGTGTATTTTGCATTGGCATTAGTCAAGTAATTGATGCATCATTCCACCACTGGCGTTCGTGACTACAGCCAGCTTAAATTTCACTTTATGTCCTGAAAGTCGGTCTATAAATAATGCCGCTGCATATGCCATTAAAAAGTAGACACAAAGAAATTGGCGACTTATAGCCCTTGCAAAATGTAAATTTCATACATGCTTAGCTTCATGTGATAGCACAAAATAGTTGTAAGGGAAATGTTGCAGATGCAATTGAAAATTTGGTTAGTATTACAAGTTTCCCATTACATGACATTTCCCTCTTAATCATATTATATTCGAAAAAGTTTCAAAGTAAAATAATTCACGGAAATAGGAAAGTACAAACAACTGACACGTAATGTTTGTGTTTTTTTAAACAACAAAAATTCATGTTCTTTGGGTCTTTCGGTAAAGCCACGTAGATAGAAAACATAATCAAAATAATAACAATATCACGACGTTTCGATCGCGACACAAGCAATCGTCTTCAGGTGAAAAAAATTAACCCGTAAAAACAAAGTTTTTCACTATAAATCCTTTATATGCGTGGCGGCTAGAGTCCTCTCGTCCTCTGGCTTGAGATGGCTGCCACCTATGGGTCAGATGATTGTCTGGCAGCATTAAGCAATTGGTAATTAAATATTTAAAAAAATTCCCTAAACAGTGTAAAATTTAGGAAAAAAATTTTCACGAAAATTAATTGTCACGCACAATGAGTCTGTGTGCAAAATGTCAGCTCGATTGGATCACGGGAAGTGGGTTAAAAAACGACCGAAAGATGTGCACGCTCGTAAGCAAGCAAGCAAGCACGCAAGCAGCAAGCGAACTTAATATAAAGGATTTAAAAAAGAGGGGGAAATCTGCCGAGGCAGGCTGTTTACAAAGGTTTAGAGATGGGCGGGGCAGCTAAAGTTTATGTTGGAGAGGTCTCCGTAACCTGCAGTAGTTCTACACCAATCAAAGAGCTGTTTACAAAGGTTTAGAGATGGGCGGGGCAGCTAATGCCAATGTGGGGGTGGTACTACGGAGCTGTGGGGGGTGGCCATTGTATTGTGAGAGATTAGCATGTCAATGTAAGACAGCGCAGTGGCAATGTATTTATTATTAAGTTGTAAATTATTCATTTGTAATTTTTTGGTCAACAATTACATTTTATGTAAATGTTGGCATAAGGATATTCCCCACACAGTTTTAATGTAGATTCCCTGTGCTTGTCGTCGACGATGATTGTCGTGTTCAAGTGCTATTCTACAAACATTTGCAAGAGCCATAAACGGTTTTGAAACAAGCAGACGCCAAAAGGGCCAAGCGTCTTCGTGTACGTCCTCGGTGTCGCATATCATTGCCATGCGTGGAGGTGTCAACAGATTTCATTATAGGCCATTGATCGCCTTTTGCCTCTCATTGTGGGGATCAATCCCACGCTAGAGTGATCTGAACTCTCGCGTGAAACAAGGAGATGAACCGGCCGCGGTTTTACAGCCATCTGGTGCGACATGCATGCATGCTGCGTTGTTTGACCGAACATCAATTACGTGTAATAGTTCACAAATCTGCCACAGAATTACTGCACGCTGCATATATATATTTTGTTGAAAACATTGGACCAACATTTATGATTCTGAGAAGGTAGTAAATAAATAACCTTGTTAGTACGGCCTGAGAATTAGACTCCGTTGTCCCTTGCCGACAAATGTTCAGAAGGACACAGGTTGCAATACAGTGCATAGATTATGTGCTCACTCTTGACTGGAGTGCGCTTTGAAGACGCATACTGAGATATTATTAATAATAAAGTACGTATAGCTGTTTGTAAATCCAGTGCTGGATTAGGGCCTCCCCACACCATATTGGTCTTAGGGGTTGTTTAATAATACATCAATGTTGATCAGTGTGGGTGGCTGAAGGTGGAGAGGCCCCGCCACCTTGTTCAGATATCACATGCCATTGAATTCGGGTCGCCGGGTCGGTATCGTAAAGTGCTGTTGAGCTGCCCGGTTAAGGTTTCCATTACAAGTTAACGTTCACAAATATTCCAGGTTTTCCATGGCTGTGTCTCATAGTGCCATGTATCCAATGTGTTCACACGCGCCACTTAGTGCAAAAGGACACATTTGATCTGGGTGGACTGGGTAATGGGGTTTGAGAGCAGGTCATTTTCTCATTGGTTACGCAAGATAACCGATTGCTTCGCTCCACCCTGGCAGGTTTCTGAGCTTTAATTGAGGCAATTAGGACATGTGCTAATAGGAGTTTCCCAACTGATGTTGTTTCCAACCGATAGTCTGTCTGCTGGCGTCAACACAAGGGGGTAGTCGCCACCTGGATTTAGGTGGCATTGCTAGAACAAGCGGATGGGATTCCTAGGCACTTGGTGGCCAAGTTCCCACAGTCTGTTACAACAACAGTAGTCATTCACCGCTACGTGGTGGCGACATCTCCACATCGCTTGTGCCACGCTAGGTGCACTTTGAGGCCATGTGAAGTGTTGAATAGTCGCCGGCTGGTCATGGGACAGACCCAGGTGTTAAAGGTTGCATGTATGTATGTTGAATTTCTTTCACGCTATACGTAGCCAACCTTGTGAATCGGAGGTGCGGGCCAAGGACAAACTAAGCACAAAATGCAATCGTAAAGAAATTAGTTTTCAATTTAGGGTTGACTTACTGAGATGACTGGCAGAGGCACCATCTGTATAAATAAGATTTTTAAAATATAGAAAGAAAAGTTGTACATAATGGGAGTTGCCATTAACTGGCACGGTCATTAAATATTTCCCAATCATGCACAGCAGTTGTGCTCACCCCACACGCACCCCTCGTGTTGACCCAACAGGCCCTCCTCGTGTGTATTTCGGGGGCACAGCTATCATCCATAGCAGACTAAATTTAACCTCCGCGGCCAGGTTCCGCACTCAGTTTTGAAACCTGTGCAGAAAGTTGGACTGACTCGGGCATTAATAATTTGATGGATGCCTCAGGTTTACTCGTTCACACCCATTCACGTGGACATCCGCTGACGTCTGGCTCGGCATTTCATACCGACAAATCCAAAGTAATTAAATTGCCTCTAATAGCGCAATTTTTCTCAAAGATGGGTTTTACGGTAAGTAGCCATTATTACAGCTTTTTTCCTGTTTGTGTGTGAGTTTGTGGCCGGAAAATGTTGTGGGAGAGCGCTTGGCTTGCGCTGGGAATGTCGTGAGTTTAAATCCCAGTCGGAGGCGGTTGAAAGGGCTCAGCATTTTTCCCAGGCTAAATAAACTATGGTGCCACTTTTGTGAAAAGTCATCAGTGGATGTTCTATTTTGATGAGACTGGACCCCTGCCCATTGGACTGTGGCATATCCACCACAAGCTCATTGATGCCAATGCAGATGATCACTGCCCTGTGCTCCTTTTTAATTCACCACACTGGTCAGTATCGGTTTGTGAAGGGTCAAGATGTGGCCTGAAATCGAACTCAGTTTTGTCATAACATTGGGCATACTGTGAAGAGACTGGCCACTGCCATGGGAAAGTGTAAATTCGAACACAGGGCCCATGGCGATGTGGAGTGACACTTTGTAGGTGCACACGTACACACTTGTGTACGTGTGTACCTACAGGAGCTTACCGTATCATTGCAGGCCTTTGTCAATCCACTGTTGCTTGAAGGGCTCTCCATGCCATTTTAGGTGAAGGGGGTGGTTTGACAATACTTCACCATGCTGGTCAGTGCAGGTTGGCGGAGAGGTTGAGTATAGAGCCAGGACATGTCTAGTTACCGCTCACCACTGACGTTAGCCATGGCCTGGAATTGAACTCATAGCGCCGTATGCATAGCGCA